ATTTTTTCACACTTATCATGCCATGAATTCATAGGGAATGGGTTTCCGGCAGCTCAGGCTCCTTTCTGCTGGTTCTCACAGAATGTGCGGGGTGGGGCAGGCTGGCACTTCAGTTGAGCCCAGGGACCTTTCTCTTTGGCTTCCTTCTTTTTCTGATAACTTTCTTTCTCATGGTTCAGGAAGCTATCTCGGCTCTTAGAGTGCTTAATATGCTGAATACATACATTAATTCTCTGCAAGAATCTTGCCCTTAACTTGTTTGTTTACGACAATGCCAACCGCGTGCTGAGAAACAGTGTAGACCCTTCCAGTTTTGCCGTGGTGACATTTGTGGGGCATTCCTTTTTGAACAGCGCCCATTTCCTTGCTGTCTACAATATCACCTTTCTTGTAGATTCCCATGTATGTGGCCAAAGGAACAACTCCGTGTTTTCTAAAAGGCCTAGAGAACATATAGCAGGGCCCTCTCTTTTTTCCCTTTGTGTTGGTCATTTTAATAAATCACTGGAAGATGACGGTCCCAGCCGAAAACCAAGAATTATATTTTTAAAAATATATTGAAAAGGGAAGTTAGGATTCTAGGTTAAGATGGTGATTGAATGCCTATATCTAATTTCACTCCCTCCCAAAACCCCACTAAAACGTCAATAAAGAGATTTTTAAATCAAGAGCTAAACCTACAAGGATGGAGAAACCAGGAAAAGAGACAACAGCCACAAAATTTTTCAAGCAGGATGGCAGACAGCCATGCGGTTACTGACTTATCAGCCCCGAGGAAAAAGACATCTCAGCTGGCAGTGGAGGAAATTGAGAGCCAACCTGATTTACATTGCAATGTTCTCAGAAGGCACAGAAATTGGCAATCCAAGGCACCTCTGGAGCTGTGGGAGAGGTTGCTAATATAAGAACTAGGATGAGGGGCCGGCCGAGTGGCTCAGTTGGTTAAGAGCACAAGCTCTGAGCAACAGGGCTGCTGGTTCGATTCCCACATGGGCCACTGAGCTGTGCCCAAGCTGAGCTGCCACTGAGCTGCGAACAGGTAGCAGGATGGCTCAGCTGGTGAGAGCACATGCTCCTAACAACAAGGTTGCCAGTTCGACTCCCACATGGGATGGTGGGTTATGCCCACCCGCAACTAAGATTGAACACGGCACCTTGAGCCGAGCGGCCGTGAGGTGCTGACGGGTGGTCAGATGGCGACTGGACTTGGAGCTGAACTAGCTGCACCCTCCACAACTAATATTGAAGGACAACAACTTGGCTGTTCCCCTTCCCCAAGTCTCCAACACTGTTCCCTTTCCCCAATTCCCCAATAAAATTGTTTAAAAAAAAAAAAAAGAGGGCCAGCCATGTGGCGCGATGGCTAAGAACTGGCTTGGGACGCCAGAGGGCCCCGGTTCGGATCCCACATATGAGGGCCAGTGACACTGCCCTCTACAGCTAAGATGCTGAAC